CCCCAAAACCCCAAAACCCCAAAACCCCAAAACCCCTTTATAAAGTGATTTATTGACGGTGATATAATAAATAAAGAATCAATGACTAAAGTTATAACTTCTGTGATAGTTATTACAGCTGGGTTATTTATGGCTTCATATTTGATCGGTTTTAGTCCATCTAAAAATTTGGAGCTAGAGTCTAAGTTCGAAGGATTCATCAATGAGTACACCCCTATCTACACCACTGATGCTGAGTACGATTACAGACTAGGAGTCTTTGCCGAGAACATGAAGATTGCTGAAGAACTCCAAGAATCCAATCCTATGGCTAAATTCGGAATCACCCCATTTTCTGACAGAACTCCCGAAGAAATGCAACAGATGATGGGACTCAGTCAAGAACTTCAGGATGACCTTGATCAAGAGCAACAGCAAGTCTCCAAAAGCAATTGGTTGGTCGAGCGTTGGTTCCGTAAATCTCACGACTTGACCAAGAGCAAGAACTGGAAGGACCATTTCCACCCTGTACAGAATCAGAAGCAATGTGGATCTTGCTGGGCGTTTGCAACCACTGCAGTGCTGGAGGCTCACAGAAGTATAAAAGGCCTTGGCAAGGATAAACTTTCTGAACAACAGCTTGTTGACTGTGAGCCTGCAACTCATGGATGCAATGGCGGAATCTCAGCTTATGCTTATGGGTGGTACAAAGATCATGATGCTTGTTCTTCTAATGATTACCACTATATTGGCCTTCAAGGAGCTTGTAAGACTGATAGATGCTCTTCCCTCGGTGTACACGACGAAGTCCATGGAGCTGGATGGGTTAAGAGTGGAGAACCAGGTATCCTTGATAGAATCCAGAATCACGGACCCGTTACAGTTTCTATTGATGCTACAATTTGGAATACCTACCAATCTGGAATTATGTCACAAGGCTGTTACAAAAAAGGAATTAATCATGAAGTTGTCGTGACTGGGTTCAAGGCTCAGCATTCTTCCCCGCACTATATTATCAGAAACTCTTGGAGTGAGAGTTGGGGAGAACAAGGCACGATTAGGATCTTGTATGGAAAGGGCGTTTGTGGTATTCACAAACAATCTTTCTACCCTGTTCTAAATTAGATGGTTCAATGCAAATTATCTTAAAGGGGTTTTGGGGTTTTGGGGTTTTGGGGTTTTGGGGTTTTGGGGTTTTGGGGTTTTGGGG